TCTGTCCCCCCCCCCGCTTCCCCTCTCTGAACAATCGTCCACGCCTCTCAAGCAATACTGCTGACTGGCACTGGGAGCTAGCTGCTAGAGAGAGAGAGGAATGGGAGAGAGCGAGCAAAAGAGAGAATGAGAGAGAGAGAGAGAGAGAGGTGGACTGGAGGCTGGTTCTTCGTCTGCTGTTCCTTCAGTATCGTTATCGTCCTGTTACAGAAAAGATTATTTTGAAAATAAATAGAAAAATCATCTAAGTTTTGTAAATGATCCTTCACTGTCGGGGGGAGAAAAAGCTATCAGAATATACTTTGTACACATGTCTAATCTTGTAAAAAATGCAAAAAGAATACATTTTAGAGAGAAATCTGAAACCTGATATATTCTGTCACCCTATACTGTATGTGTAAGGAACTGTTCTTTTTTCTTTTTTTACAGACAGCAACCACGTTTATCAGTGTTTCTTTGAAATTGTTTTAGTAACTCAATATTTTATAGGCAATCAATAAACAGATGGAACTGTATGTCTCTGACTCTCTGATTTGAAAACAGTGTTTTTCATTTGACTAAAGCTGCAGACGCTCGTGTTCTGGAGCTGTTTAATGTTTTCCTACAAATTGATTCATTTTTAGAAACTTATAATTAATTCATTTACAAAGCATAGCAACAGGCACTGCTTTGAGGAAGCTGCCATGTTGTCCCGCCATCATGAATACGGTGGCCAAAAGGGACATCACAGTTCAGGTTAGGCTCGAGTGATTTGATTACATGCTCACATAGAGTATTTTTTGCTAACATCCACTTTAAAGAAAGTTTTACTAACAGCAGCACTTACTCACAGAAACATTCAGGATGTCCTCAACAACTCACCTCTGTACCTCTGTCACCACCATCGATACCAGTTCAGTATTGGAGTCCTTTCCCATAGTTTTACAGCCTCCTCCGTGGTAAATAGACATGAATGCTTTTTACCTGGCATATTGACAACCGAGGTAAACAGTGGGCTAATGGCCTACCCAGATAGCAAAATAATCCAGGACAGATCTGAGTGAGTACAGTCCCTACAGATAAACAGTGGCCAGAGCTTTTAATAAAAACACTGCAAAATATTTAATTTTTTTAATTTCTGGTAATCTGCTGAGTGCTGATATTATTGAAATACTGTTTTGGTTTTTTTTGGTTTTTTTTACACGAACAGTAATAGAAACACGAAGGCAACCTGTGGTAATTATTTGATACAATCTAAATGTAATATTTTGACTAAACCATGTTTGTCCTACAGTGGCCACCTTAGATAGGATCATGCACTTAAATGAGAGGGGTAAGAAAACAAAACTTAGTTGACTGCAATCTACAATCTACTGACATCTAGTAGTGAGATTTTATACACTGGTACATTTTTTTCCTCTAATTCTGCTGCTTTTTGATTGCACATATTTGGAAACACCACTGAAAAAAAAAAAGCAATTCATGATCCACTTGCTGCCCATCACATGCTGGCAGGTTAGTTAGTTGCCAAGGTTCCCCCATTATGTGTTCCCCACCTATATTCTCCACTTCCATCTCGTTGCTTTTAATCTCTTGCACACACCTTGACACTGAGTAATGCATGATTTATACTTCTGCAACGAATCTATAGAGCCTACAGCGTAGCCCATGCAAGAGTCTGATGGTGCTGACAGCATCTATACTTGTGCTGGTGCAGTTCGATTGCTCTGTGGAGTTCAAGTGGATCCATTCTCTTTCGTTCAATTTGAAAAAATGGAAGAAAGAAGAACTGTCAGAGAATGGATGGATGTAGAGCTCACTTTGGTTGCCCTCATGCTGACAAAAACGCTCTGACCCATCGAAGTACGGATATAAGATTCTGTGGTT